GTAGATTCCACCACTGACCTTTGGGCCTTCCCAGCAGATCCGTGAAACAGGTCTGCATGAGACGTTGTCATGGGTTCTGGGCCTCCAGTTGGACTCGTGGGAGGCATTGTTATGAGCTCTGAGTATTCAGCTCGACTCATGTAGGACTCATGTAGGACTCATGTGGGATCCAGGCCCTCAGCTGGATTCCTTGGTCTTAGTGTGTGGACAGATTCCCTGCATTCTTTTGTATACTGTTCCTTGGGTGACTTATAAATAATCATACAAAGTATGTGTCCTGTGTTATGTTGTTCCCCTTGCAAAATCAGCCCCAAACCAACACACAGCCTAAAATCACGCAGTTTGTTTTTATTTTTATTTTATTTTATTTTGTTTTTTTTCTCCGGTACCGGGAACCGAACTCACGACCTTGCACTTGCCAGGCAGGCGCTTTTGCTGCTGAGCTAAATCCCCAGCCCCAAAATCACACAGTTTGGAACCGGCATAGCCAGGATCCAGATGTGCAAATCTGGCATCTGGGGCTGTGTTCCAGGATCCCAGACCCTCCCTCACACCTCCTGGGCACCCTGTGGGCCCCGTGCAGTCACCTTTCCCTTGGGCCTGTTCATGGAACCTCCACTGCATGTCAGGCATGACCCAGGTGCAGACACAGGGCAGGGGGCACTTCAGAAAAGATGTCCACGCAGTGCTGGGAGGGGTGGCAGTGGGGAGCACAGATGATGAGGAATAAAGATCTGTGAAGCACATGCAGTGTTAGCGGTAGGCACAGAAGGGGGGAGTGTAGGACAGGGTGGTTCGACGTCAGGGCATGACCACAGTGAGAGGAGACGCTGGGGTCCAGCCTGCAGGAGGGAGGGGGCCGCATGGTTTTCTGGAGCAAGAACACTTGCTGGTGCAAAGGCCCTGCGGCAGGCGCATACCAGGCTCCAGTGAGGGTGCCAGAGTGGCTGGATGAGAGGTGAGTGAGTGCAGGGGGCACCCAGTGCAGACCAAGGTGCAGAGCCCCACGGTTACAGCCAGGGTGACAGCCCTCGAGTGTGCCCAGGTGGAGGAGGGACAGGCAGTGGCTGGAGTGCTCACTGTGCAGCGTCCCTGTTTTGTGCCAGGTTGTGTCTGTCATCAGCGAGTCCTGTCCCATGGAGCTGGACTTGGACTCCGGGCAGAGCCTGGTTTTCATGAGAGCCCTGGTGAGCCCAGGGAGCCGTCCTACCGTCCTTGCACAGCCCCTGCCCGGACCGGCACCTCCTCCCTGACAGTCTGGGGACGGTGGTGGGAGCAGGGTGTCCCAGGCCCTCCTCCCTCAGGAGGCGGCCAGGCCTTCTGTGAGGAGCTCGGGGCCCTGGGGAAGGCGCCCCGTTGGCCCCCACTCATCTCAGTCCTGTTCCTCTCAGGTGCCTGCTTTTGTTGCTGGTCAGGGCGATTCTTCTCAGGAGGTACCGTCCTCCAGAGCAGGCTCTTCCCAAAGCCGCAGTCCTGTTCTTTCAATTTTCCTTCGGTTCGAGGGTAGTGGTGTTACTGGGACTGAACCCAAGCTCCATCCCAGCCCTTTTATTTTTCTCTGGAGACAGAAGCTTGCTTAGTTGCTAAGATGCCCAGCTGGTCTCACAGGTTCGCTCCTCCTGACTCAGCCTCCCAGACTGCAGGGGTCAGAGGCGTGCACCCCCGTGCCCGGCCCACAGTACAGTGCCGTCCTGGGCTCACAGGAGTCAGACACTTCCCCCAGGAAAGCCGGCGCTTGGCTGGCTTTCTCCCATCGCCCATCAGGTGTGCAGGCGTTTGTGGAGGGCTCCTCTGTAGCTTCCTTCCACTCTGACCAAGTTTTGCTCTCAAGGGACTGATTTCCAGGAAAGATAGGCGTGAAGCTGGCGAGTCGCCCTCTCCCATCTGGATATGCCCAGCTCCACCATGGGCTCGGCTGGCAGGCTGGCACCGGCGGGCAGGAATGTGGGCGCATGCGCATGCAGCAGCTGGCAGAGTTTGGGCGCATGCGCATGAGTCATGGTGCCGCCCTCTGCCCTGGCTGCCGGTCCAGGGAATCCCTGTGTTCCTTGCTCTGCCTGGGAGGGAGGGCCCTGAGGATGCTGGGAAGCTGGCGGGGGGCGGGAGTGGAGGTGGGAGAAGGAAAGGACCTGGGGCCCTTAGGGAAGCTCAGGGATCACCTGGGGCGCAAGGCAGAGGGAAGAGTCCTGAAGACGCTGATATTGTGTTTGACTGGACAACTAGAAGACTGAATTCTAACTGGCCTTGGGAAGCCGCAGAGGAACCGAGCTGGGTCAGTGTGGCGGTTAGTTTCAAACAGGTGAATTTCTTCTCGAAATAGAGATTTCATTTTTTATCAATACCTGCGCACAGTAACAGCGAGCTACTACGGGCGGCAAGGGGAGTCGGCACGGGGACGGGCTTACCTCGGTTCCGCTTTCTCCCCGTCATCTCCCTGGTCTCCTGGGCCCCTTTCAGCAGGTCACAACCAGGAGTGGTGGAGCACGCCTGTAATCCCAGCATTCGGGAGGCTGAGGCAGGAGGATCACTGCAAATTCGAGACCAGCCTGGGCTACAAAGTGAGCTCGAGACCCGCCTGAACTGCATAGGGAGACCCTGTCTCAAAAAGACAAAAAACAAACAAACCAATCAGCAGGTCAGATATAAGCTGCTGAGCAGACAGCAGGTCTGCACTGGAGGTCTTCCCCTGGTTTTAGGAAATGCCAGCTGCGAAGTCTTCAAAGATTGCTTCTGCCTCCTCCTTTCAGTACCCTCATTTGCATACGACACACGCACACATATGCCCACACATCCGTGCAACCCATCACACACGTGCACGGGAGCCCAGTCACCGGTGCCCCGTGGCTGTCACGTCTCTGTGTCCCTTCTGTGGCCCCATGCTGCGGTTGGCCTCTGTTCCCCTCACTGCTGAGAGGTCGTTCCAGCAGCTACACTCTCATGTCGAGGATCCTCAGGACTCGGTTTGTGTTTGCCGTTCGTGGGTGAAATTCTCTGGCCCCTTCTGCTCAGCTTCTGGGCACTGCCAGCTGCCTGTGTCTTGGGGAGCGGCCAGGCGCCCTCACAGGGCCGAGGCTCTGGCCTGGACTCCCCACTCCCAACTCGTGTGGGGACCTTGATTCCCTGGACCACAGAGGAATGCCAAGGAACACAGACAGATGCTCTTTCCTTTTTATTGATTTCTTTTTTTTAACAGCTGACGTCGAGTCTTAGGTAACCTAGAAGCACACTTCCGGAGCCAAACTTCCAGGAGTCTTTCTCTTGAGCCGCCTTCCCCTCCTCGAACTACCCATCTACTCCGCCCTCTCCTTACCGTCCTGGCCTGGGCGTGCGTCTCTCTCTTGGGCAGGAGTGCGTCCTCCCAGGCCTGTTTAGACCCGAGGTTTTACCATAAGAAACACAGTCTCTCACAGCGATGGCTAAGAGCAGCCTCTGCAGGTGAAATCCAGGTGCAGCTCTTCCTGCCTGCACCGTGCCGATCAAATTCTGTAACCCGGAGCCCGGGCCTGAAAAGGGATCTAAGAGCAGAAATGCCTGCATGACATGCTGGCTGAGCACGGAGTATGCTCGGAAAAGCGAGCCGCTGCTTTTATTTCCTCCTGTAATTGCTGTCCCCATTCTGCCCTATGATTCAGTCCCCATTTGGAGAAACAAAACAAAACAAAAAACAATTACAGGACCGGTGAAATAGCTCAGCGGCACAGCGCCTGCCTGGCAAGCACAAGGTCCTGAGTTTGATTCCTGATACCAAACCAAACCAGACGAAATAAAACAAAGTGATCACAGCATGCTTACTGTCAGCACCTGTCCCACTGTCGTAAAGACACTTCCTGGGTCATCAGCTCAGCCAGGACAGCAGCACTCAGCCACTATTTTCTGTTTGGCATTGCCTCCAGCTCTAGAACAGGGGACGCTGTCTCCGGACCTGGGCTCCCTGCCACCCTGTGCCCGTTCTCACTGAGCTGTTCCTCAGTTCCTCTGCCCTGCTGACCTCTGCTCCAGGCCAGGGTCCTCTTCCCAGGAGCTCATGGGATTTCCTGCCCAGGGCACTGAGCACTCAGCAATAGCTGGGGCCCGGGGCGCCGGAAGCCGGTCTCACTTCCCTGGTGCCTGGGTGTGGGTCTGCATTTCTGCCCTTCCCACCGGGAAGCATTCCCAGCCCTCCGCACTCACTGTGCATCCCTGGCGATCCTCACTGATGCGGAGCTTCAGGGGTTTAAAGACACAAAAGAAAGTTCCATTTCCACTTTCTCTTTCCTCTCCTTCCCCTCAATGGCCTCAGAGTCTGTCCAGGTTCCAGTGCAGGTCAGAACCAGAGCTGGAGGTGTCTGGATCCTGAGGCAGCCCCGGCATCTCACAGGGCTCCTGTGAAAGCGTTGGTTACTTGAGTGAAAAACACACTGTGTTATCTCGGGAAACTGCAGATAGCTCAGGCTGACCTTGTGGTTGTCGCTGGTTCTGAGGATTGAGCCTTTCTCCCTGCTACATCCCCAGCTCCTTTGAAGTTTTCAAACTGTGAGACAGGGTCTTGCGAAATTGCCCAGGCTGGAATTGAACGTGTCATCTTCCTGCCTCAGCCTCCCAGGGCACTAGCATTACAGATGTGCAACATCACACTTGGGTAAGGCTGACGTGTTTTCTAGAATCTAGCGTTACTGTGGTAGTGTTAAAGCCGAATTTAAAGAGCAATGACCCTCAAGCCCCCTCCCCACACCGTAGCTATGACTTCTTGTTCTGGTCACATAAGATTGACAGCTGTCCTGGGAGCAGAGGTTGCATCATCTTGTTCTCACAGGAGGCAGAAGGCTCTGTCTTCTTTGAAGGCTAGGTTATTCACTGCTTTGTCCCGCCCCTGTGCCCTCGCTTGCCCCGTCTCCCCCTTTCTAAAGGCCAGCGCCCTCTGCCAAATGTACAAAACCAGAACCGCACCTTTGTACTAACGCCCAGCACTTTGGCTGAGAGTGGGGGGGTCGTTGTGCATCTAAACTCCGGGAAAAAATCTCCCTGTTATTCCCCATTGGTCTCTCTGATCTCTTGGGTTCTGTCTGCAACCGTGTGTTTGTTGGAATGGCTTGATGTGTGCCTTGCTCACTCGTGAAGAGCCCCACTGATCCGAATCAAGCCCTGCGGGTGCCCAGTCCTGGTGAGCAGAGCGTGCCGCTGTCACCCTCTTCAGGCTCAGGGGAGGTGGCCCAGGTGGGGCTCCCCACTCTATCTAGGGCACAGCTCACGGTACGATGTCTTTAAACCCAGAGACCAAGTCAGCACTCAGAGCCCCTCTGCCCGGCACACCTTGGAGCTGCCCATTTGTCTTTCATGACTGGGTCAACGAGGCCGATCAGCTTTGGCACAGGGAGCAGAAGAACAGCTAGGAGGACAGCGCTCCTCCTCCCCACCGGGGAAGGAGGCCCCCGACCTGGTGGGTGGCTTCTCTGTGAAACGCTTGGTGAGAAAACCACAGTTGCCACAGCTGAGGCTGTGACTCCGCATCCTGCACTTCTGTTTTACGGCTGGGCAAGGCAGGATGGGGCTGGCCATCTTTGCTTCTGGTGTCTCACAGTAAGATGTGAGTTTGCCAGGAAGGACGCACAGGCCAGGAGCAGGACACGGGGAGACCACCTCTCCCTTGCCCCAAGGCCCAGCTGGTCCACGGCATGGGGAACCACAGTTCCGGGAAGCAGAGCATTCCAGGGCTGAGACTAGGGGCCACACAGCCTGTGCTCCTGAGCAGTGGAGGTCTAGCCTTAACCCTCTGCCGTGAGGACGGCTGCAGTCAGACGGGGAAGGCTGACGGGGCTCCTTTGCGAGTGATTTTGGAGTCTAAATTCCTAAGTGTTTGTTACTCATGCAATTCCAGATTCTCCTTCCTTTCCGGATACCTTCTCCTGTTGTCGTGCACTGGAAGAGCTCTGTGAGGCTCTGTGGCTGGGGGCCCCCTCAGTGTGGTGAGTCCTGTGGAGGTGGAAAGGGAAATCATGACTCTAGGGATGCAGATGCCATTGGAGCTCAGGAAAATGCCCACATCTCCATCATGTGCAATTAAAGATGCTACCAAGGTTACAAAGGCAGCCAAAGCCACGTGGCGGTCCTGGGTTGGACAGAGCCCAGAGGTTGCCCAGCCGCAGGTTCTATCCCCATGTTCAGGGTCAGGGACAGTGAATGGGCCGTGGGGAAACCCTTCCTGCGTCAAAGTCCAGAGCAAAGGACCCAGGCGGGTGGGGAGGAGTCCGCCATGCACACAGCCGTCTCTCTGTGCTGTAGCCTTCAAGGGCTGCCCTCAGGAGAGCTGGGACTCACGCTGGTGCCTGGAGGAGCCTGTGATGTCTCCCTGTGCCACTCCGAACCTCAGGCTGGCTGCTGGGGACCGAGGGGTCTGTCACACCAGATGGCTCACAGGCTGGGAGAGCTGGGGCACCACGTGGGCTGTGCGCTCTCGTGTGTGCTCTTATTCACATGACATCTCACATGAGGCATTGCTGTCTGCCGGCTTAGCAGAGAAACAAACATTTCCCCTTTCCACTTCAGTGCGTTTGTGGGAAGTTGCTGCCTGTCATGGCCTGCTTTGCTAGTATTCCTGGCATCCATATGTGACCACTGTGACGTTCACAGCAAAGAAAACTGAGCAGAGACAAAGTCTGTCACTTCCAGGTCAGCGACGTTCACAAGTGGATGTGTGTTCTCTGCCCTCTCTGTTTGTGTTGAGCAACGGGGAGGCCAGCTCTGCCCGAGAGGATGGTGGAGACCACAGGGCGTTGTGTTTGCAACTCTCCTACAGAGGAAATGCAAGCTCTGCCAGGCAAAATGCACAGTGGTCATTTACACGAGTGGGAACCAGAATTGATTCGTGTGAAACCACCGGTACTGCAGGTTTACCTGTTCCGTGGTGACTGTTACCCTGGTCCTGGCATTGCAGAGGTGGCTGCAGAGAGTGTGCTTAGCTGTTTGACTCTGTCTGCTTCCTTGGACTTTGTGCTGCCGCATCTGCATCTGTTCTGTTCACCGCTGGTTTCAGACGCTGAGCTGTAATAAGCAACTGATAAACACTGGCTGATTGGCTTCCAAGGAAAGGGATTCCCAAATTCACATTTATGACAGCTTTGGAGGAAGTGACTTGTCCAGGGTCACAGGGAGTGGGAGACAGGACCAGAGGAGGAAGTCCTGATGTTCTGCACCTTTTTCAAAATCTCAGCACCCAGTGAGGGCTGCACGCCTGTTAGGATGGCCCAAATCTGGAGCCCTGGACACACCACCACACCTGGGAAGCTGGTACACAGCGGGCGGGGAGCAGTGGCCACAGCCCCTCTGGAGCGCAGTGGGGCCATTTTTTGTCAAGCAAACTCTGTCTCCACATGATCCAGAATCGCCCTCCTTGGTATTTACTCAGAGGAGCTGAAAACTTCTGTCCACCCTGAAATCTGCACATGGATGCTTATAGCAGCTTTACTTCACTATTTCACAAACTTGGATCAAAGCAAATTGCCCTACAGTAGATAGAGATAATTTAGTGCAGTTGGTCAATGGAATATTACTCCATGCAAAAAAAGAACATGTATCAAGCGATGGAAAGACTTATAGGACGATGAAATGCATATTACTCAGTGAAAGGTGCCAGTCTGAAAGGGCTACAGTCTCATCCCAACTGCAGACCTTCTGAAAAGGAAAATGCAAGGTAATAGCAAGTAGGGAGACAGATCTTTCTCCGGTGGAAAGGGGATCAAGGGATGGAGGACAGGAAGGGAAGGGAGAGGCAGGGGTAGAAGAGGAACGAAGATTTGGTATGCATTTGCACAAACTCCGTAGGAGGAATGGATACATTACATGCTACAAACATGTGCTACTAAAACAAAACATTAAAAAATAAAATTATGTCATCCGTGTGGTGTTTAGTCCTGTGAAGAAAACACATATAGCCTACTGTTCTAGGGGCTTAGGTTAGCGGGAGCTTCAAGGGGGAGCAACAGGAACGCTGGGACCATAGCCCCTTTCCAGCGGCTGCAGGTGAAGCCCCGGGGACCCCAGCTTTTTGGCTGGTGCAGGAAGCCCTCTTTCTGTTGTACCTGTTTCCAGAGCTGGGGGCAGACCTCAGAAATCCCAGCTGCTCCTCCTGTCCTGTCCCTGTCCTGTGGAGCTCCCTGGCCAGATGGAGTGGACATCTAATGTTGTTAGACAAAGGATGTTCTTCCCTTTGGCAGGACAACAGCTTTGTACCTTGTAGCAGGTGAGCATTTAGGACACACGCACAAAGCACTAACCAGAAAATAAAATTATAGAGGAGCTGGACAACAAAATGATTCAGAAGTGCTATCCTTCAAAACACAGCAGGAAAAGCAAAAACCCTACCAGAATGGGAGTAATATTCATAGTGTACATACCTTACAAAGAGCTCATGTGCATTGCAAGAAAGAAGAATTCCTCCTATATAATGAAAAACAGAGTCCACTTTTCTGGAAAAAAAAAAAAAAGAGGAAAGGAGAAACCCTTGACTAGACATTTCTCAAAACAAAGCGGATATTCAAATAACCAAGATCATATGAAAGTGACCTCAAGTGCATGGCTCACCACAGAAGATGTGTGTAGGCGTTGTCCTCAAACACTGTGCCATTTGATGTAAAGTGGGTTTTGCTCTCTGGGGTGCTGGAACCCAAGCTGCAGACGCGGAGGGAGGAGTGCATCCCTGTCAGTGACAGGGATTCAACTACTCAGCACGGCGTGGTTCTTCCCAGCATAGGAACTGAACGGTGCCCGTTAACAGGAGCGTGGGGAAACGCATGGTGGTCATTCCCACACAGGTACACCGTGGTGCTCTGAGGATTACGTGCATTATTGAGGATGAATCCTTAAGTCCTGGGAGCGTTTCCTGGAGCAAAGGGAGCCAGCACACAGAGGAACAGGACACACTCCTTGGAGGGAACCAGAGCATGAAACCTTTGTTCAAGCGTCCAGACCCCAGAGAGCTCTGTCCTTGGAGAAGGTCACAGAGCACAGCATAAAGGGGTTTACCCGGATCGGGAAGGTCCTGCCTGTCCCCCAGGGCTGCGGTGTGTGGGTGTGCCTAGTTTGTGAAAACCCACCCAGCTGGGCATGTAAGATGTGCACATTTTGCCTCACAGATCAATAAATATGAAGATACACACACATCTTGGCACACATTTCAAAACCTGCTGAAGCTGGGTGTGGTGGTATACTCCTATCCTCTTAGCACTTGGAGGCTGAGGCAGGAGGATCACAAGTTTGAGACAAGCCTGGACAACTTGGTGATTTAGCAAGACCCTGTCTAAAAATAAAAAAAAAATAATAATGAACGAGGGCTGGAGACATAGGTCAGCACTTCCTGGTTGGTTCCCCAGTCATACACACACCCACACAGTTCTAGCGAGTGGAAGTCCTGGGGTGGCTTAGCCACTCAGGGGTCTTCCACTGGATTTCCTGAGTGTCTCAGTTGTGCCTGACACACTGGGCTTGAGTCTGGTGTCACTGTTGGGAAATGAGGGCTGCAGGTCTGACACCACATCCGGATAAAGTTTTAATGAGAGACAGAAGCAAGGGGACCAAGTTCTCCTTTTGAAATCCCTGTATTAAGCAAGAACAGGACCCTTGCAAATCCCCATATCCTCTGCTCTGAGTTCTGTGATCCATCCCTGGTCATGTGGAACAGGCCGTGGGGTCGGATTGCTGAGACGGCCTCAGCCCTGCGTTTTCTCCCTGCAGCCCCCTTGGGCTCGGGCCTCAGCACCTTCACAGAACCAGGTGAGCAAAGGCCACCTCGTGGCCTGGGAGGAGTTGCTCCTCGCTGTACTTGGAGGCAGCCGACCCCAGCATCCAGGATGACGCTCTATTCACATACATGGAGTTCTATTCTTTGCCTGGAGTGTGATCTACCCCAGGATCACACTCCATGTAAAGACCCTGGTGCTGAGCTTTCTACAGGTGCCCGGTGCGCCCTGTCTGCCCCCATGTCCCCTGTGGGTCTCACCGTCGGGATGCCGACTGTCCCTCCCTTTAGGGCTGTGCACCACCCTGCCCATCCTGGTCCCCAGTGATGCCGAGGTGTCAGGAGGCCCCATGTTGTCAGGGGATGGGCGGTGTGTGATGGACCTGCTGCCAGAGAGCTCCTCCCCGCCCACATTCCCAGTGCTTATGCCCACTGCTCTAGATCCACGCCCAGAAGGGGGCCTGCTGGGTCCTGTTGTAGTTGTGTCTTTAGTGCTTTGAGGCATCTCATTCTGTTATCCTTCTTGGCAATGGCGCCATTTGCATTCCCGGCCATGGTGGGTGGGCGGGGACCCGGCTTCTCCTCCGCTGTGAGAGGTGGGATAAGGGCTGGTTCTGAAGAGACAGTCTGTGCGTGACGACTCCCAGCCTGCGAGCCTTTAAAATCTCATCTACAGGAGGCGTGTCCAGTGTGTTTTCTTTCTCGCTGGCTGTAGCAAAGACCACAGTCTTCACACTTGCAGAGCGAGCTGTGGTTCCCATTTTCCGCAGGAACTGTTGGCTTTTGGTGTCGCAACACCCTGCCCAGGCCGCCCCTGGAGAAGTTGGAGGCCCTCCTGTGCCCCTGCCATCTGCCCTGGCTGCAGATTCACGCGGAGCACCATCCGAAGTGGGGCCGCCCTTGGCCACCGGGGAGAGGGGAAAGGAGAGGGCCGGCGCTTCTCTCTGAGTGAGGCTGTTGAGGGGAAACAACTTGGGCCCCACCCACACAACTGGGCCTGGCCCTGTCTGCGCAGGGCTCTCAGCTCCAGGCCATGGCCCCGAGGCCCACCTCCCTCCTGGCCCTGGGTGAGTCTGGGACAACAGGGGGTTTCTGGGACTGGCGGGAGGAGACTTGGGGAAGGGGCCTGTTCCCTGCTCAGCCTGAGTCCAGCCAGGAGGATTTGGGGTCCTGCAGGAGCTGTAGGGGTCTCGACCCCTCTTATACTTGGGGGCAACAGAGGACTTGGTCCTAGAAACAGGGCCCTGGGTGTGCAGCCAGGCCGGCTTCAGGAAGTGAAGGGGAGCGCAGAGCCCATCTGCAGGGGGAGGTCTGGGGATCTGGGAGTCTTCCAGGGCCAGCAGGGTTAGGACCCCATGTCCCTGTGTGGTGGGGTGATTTGTTAACTGCGGGAGGCTGATTCCTAGGCTCTGCCACCCACCTGCTGATCCAGCCCTTCAGGAAACTGGGAGGTGGGCGTTTTCTAACTGGGCTTCTCTTCCAGTGCTCTGCCTGGGCCAGGAGATCCTTGCGCAGAACGGTGAGTCATGTCAGCCCCACTGGACAGGAGGGAGCTGGCTCCCGGGGGCTGGGGCAGATCCTACCTATGTCCCTGGTCATGACAACCCAGATGTGTAGCCTGCAGCCAGCTCTTGCTTTCATTTTTTCTTTTTTTTTGTTTTGTTTTTGAGAAGGGTCTCACTATGCAGGTCAGGTTGAGCTGGAACTTTGTAGCTGAGGCTGGCCTCGAACTCACACTCATCCTCCTGCCTCAGTGTCCCCAGTTCTGGGATTATGTTACAGCAGAAAATTCCCATCTGTCCCAAACATTCCACAGAGACGCCAATCGCCAGTGAGAACAAGTCAGAGTTTAATTTGAGGCTAGCCACCCTCACTTCCTTTGCCAATCTGGAAGCGGGGGCCCATGGCTAACTTTGTTTCCCCTTATATACATTTTGGTTTCCATTGACAGCAGATTGGGGTGTTACATTCTCTGACCTCGGTGGGCACGTGGTCTTTCTCTCATCCTGTTGGACCCCAGGTCAGTTGCAGGTCGCATGTCAAACAGTGATAGATGTCGTCCCCCCGCCCCCCCATTATCTCCTTTTTACAACCTATGCATTCCTTTAGGGTTACAATGTTTACCTACGGCCAGGAGATGGCACTACCCAGGCGGGGTCACGGAGGGTCACCTAGGCCTAGGCGCCCCCTTATCTTGGGGAGACATTCCTGGGCAGTGTTGATCTGGGGAATTAGCTCTTGCACTGTCCCGGGAGGCTTTGTGAGGCACCATGCAGGCTTTTTCCAAACTATTTTATCTAAAATAGTATGCTAAGATTCATTGACCCTTACAATTACAAGCATGTGCCACCAGGCCCGTCCTGCTTTCATTTTCTAATTCTTTGTTGTTTTCTTGTTTTAAGAGAGAAATAGTAAATTTTTATATGTATACTTTACTGAATGGTTTTTTTTTATATAGTGTTCATATCTGGAAGAATTGAATTAGGCTCATTAAGGTATCAATTTCCATATGGTCATCTTTTGTGGTTAGAACTTGTACATCTACCCTCTGAGCCATTTGAAAGCGGAAGCTAGAAGCTCAAGTTAGCTTGCCTCCCAGTAAGTCTCAAGAGCTCCTTCCTCCGGGCTAACTGCCCCTTTTTGGCTTTTCATCAGCATTGTCCCTCTCCCCATCTCCGGCCTCCCATGCCCTCTGGAAACCACAGATCTCTGGCAACCCTCAGCTCCTGATTCCATACGAGGAGAGGAGGTTGTGAGGCGCTTGCCCTGCACTGGCTCTGTCCACTTGGTGGGATGCCCCGTGTGTCTGCCTGGTGTCCACAGAGGGCAGACGTCCCTTCTCTCTGAAGGATGAGTAATGCTGCGCTCTGCCTGCACCACACTCCTTGGTCCACTCATCTACAGATGGACGTTTTGGCTGATCTGTCTTTTGGGTCAGGTGACTGGTGTGGCAGTGACCATGGGGCCAGGTGTCTGGATGACATGCTGATGTTCACAGAGGGGATGCAGCACCAGCAGGACCCTGGCTGAGCCCATGACTGTCGAACCGCTTAGAAGCCCAGACTTTCCCTCGCTCCTCCTGAGCAGGAGCAGGAGCAGGAGCAGGAGCAGGAGCAGGAGCAGGAGCAGGAGCAGGAGCAGGACGGCCCAACTGAGCTTGGTCCCAGCGCTCTGTCTTCCCTGTGCTTCTCCCTCCAGGCGCCAGGTCCTCTCCAGCCGCCCACACCTGCTACTGCTCAGGTCCTTCTGGAACCAGGGTGATTGCAGTCTGCACTGCAGATATAGCAATCCCATCACTTTACTTTCCATGATTTTTAACTTTTATTCAAAGGCTTTGCGTTTACATCGTAGTTCAGGCAAAGTCTTCTTCCTCCTCAGAGGCTTTCCAGGGTTTATCTTCAGTCAGAATTGGACCAGCTCAGCTCTCCGGTCTGGGCATAGCTATCTCCCAGCCACTTCCTGTCCCTGCTCAACCTCCGGCACTTGTCCCTAGATATCTCTCCTTTCTATCATGTTTTCAGAGGCACAAGCTCCTGCTCACCTCACAGACTGAGTTTCAAATTGACCAATGAGACTGCTCCTGTTTACCATGTACAGCTTGACATTTTAAAGCAAGCAGATATTGCCTAAGGCTTAACTGAGCTAATTAGCCTAGGCGTTGTTACCTCACACATCTTGTTTTCATGGTGAAAGCGTTTTAAATTGCCTCGGGGTGATTTTCAAGTGCATGTCACACCGCTATGTAGTCTCTGTGTCCCTGGTGGATCTCCCGGCTCTCTCCTCCTGTCCAGGTGGAGTTTGGGGTTCTCTGGCAGCACTTGCAGGTGGCCATTCCCCTTTGCTGTCCCTGGGCGCTCAGCGCAGGGAACCTACACCTGTCCTGGGGCTCAGCTGGTGCCCTGCCCCAGCACCCCAGGGTGGGCAGCACGCCCCCCTCCTGTGCGAGATCCCTGCCCTCCCCGCCAGTACACTCATCCCTGGGTGCAGCTGTGGATGGGGACAGTTATTCTGTCAGTGTCTGGCTCTGGCCCACTCTCAGCTCCAAGGGCAGGGACTGTGTCTGCACATCCTGCACTTGTGGAACCCTTGGCACAAGGAAGCAGACCCTGGGATGAAGAGGAAATACCATGCGGTTGAAAGGGGGCAGGAAGGCTCTCTCCCAGCCACTTCCTGTCCCCACTTCCTGTCCCCACTTCCTGTCCCCACTTCCTGTCCCCATTTCCTGTCCCCACTTCCTGTCCCTGCTCCGCCTGGGGTCCTTGTTCCTAGACGCCTGGACCCTGGTCAAAGGATGCAAAATCTCAGCAACATGGCTAATACTGACCTACTGTGTACTTGAAAATCACAAGAGCCAAACATCTCTGAATGTTCTCCCCACACAGCAGTGGGAGGATGTGGGGGAGTCCATGTGTTAGCGAGCTGGAGTTGCCATTCCATGATATGTAGTTACATCAGACCACTTCTCTGTGCACCAAAGGATGTGTAATTGACATTTTTTGTGTGTGAAGAATCGAACTCAAGACCTTGCGCTTGCCAGGCAGGTGCTTATGCCACTGAGCTATATCCCCGGCCTTGTAATTGACATTTTAATACGTAGTTGACATCTCTTAGGTGCACATATTTATATGTCACATGTAAAGATCAGATCTGAGCAATTTGCATGCCTGTTACCTTCATTTGTAAGGAGTGACTGATGAGTGAATGGCTAAGCTGGCCCTCTGCCAGCCCCTGGCTCTTACAGACCTTCCTGATAGGGGGCTTCAAACCCACCGACCCTAGCTCCATCCCAGGCGAGACAGGAGGGGACTTTCAACCTGCAGTTATCAGGAAGTGGAAATAAGGCTGAGACAGGCATAGGAAACATGGAGGAAAACCCAGGAAGGCTTCTCCATGGGCCCTGGGTGTGGCCGTGGGTAGGAGGGCAGTGACTCCACAGCGGACCCCAGCAGGGCTAGGTACTCTCTTTGAGGGTTCTGGGAGACCCAAGCCCGGCCCAGCATGTGCCTGGGCTGGGGGTCTGCACTGTGAGAGCGACGGGGATGAGAATTCGGGGGCACACAGACTGCATGGGGATGGCGGAAATGATGTGAAGCCATATTGGATCCTGGCTGCGCAGCTCTGTAAGTTTGCCAAGAACACTGAGCCGTGCCCCTAAAATTAGCTTTGCTTATGGGTATTTCCTCTTGGTGGACACCGAGGCCCTGCTCTGCTTCCTTCTAGGGTTCCTGCCTGCACCCTCCATCTCTGCTGAGCCAGGCCCTGTGTCACCCCAGGGGAGGAGTGTGACCATTGTGTGCCGAGCCCCTGGGGACTTTGAGATATTCCGCCTGGAGGATTGTTCCCCTGGGAGGGGTTGTACCACAGTTGAGGAAAAGAAGAGCACTTGGTCTTTGAAGATGGAGGCCAGATTCCTCCTCACCTCGATGCATGCTGCGCATTACGCCTGTGTCTATCAGAAATCGTCCGCTTGGTCTTCACGCAGTAAGACCCTGAAAGTGCTGGTGACTGGTGTGGATGTCACCCAGGCCCCCAACAGCCCAGCCTCAGCTCTGCCCTCAGGTTTGTTCCCATTTACGTGTACCACGTCCCCAGCTGCCATCCTCTGTCTCCCAGCCCCTCCTCCCTCTTCTCGGTACAACTGTCCCTTCTGCCTCCCTGCGCCAAGCTTCCCAAAGCACTGGCCTCACTGGACACCAGGACGGGTGGGCAGGGAGCCGGCCCTGCTGGCTGGGTGGGGAGTGGGTTCCCAGACCTGGGGAAGCAGATCCCCTCCAAGGGCGGGAGTGTCTTTTCGCAGGGATGGTGTGTTCTGCACCTTTTCCATGGAGACAGAACCTCTGGTGGCCCCAGGTACATGTCCCCTCTGGTGCGGCCCTCCCATACACTGGGCAGGTCTCATTGTCCAGGGATGTTCCTGACCGTGGTTGGATGGTGCTTTGGGAGAAGCTTAGGGATGGGATGGTCCATGCCCTTTTGTGGTCAGCTCCAGAGATATCCTAGGGCAGGGTCTGGTGAGGAGGGTCCAGGCCACCTCTGTGTCCTGCCTGGGCTGCATAGTTGCTGCTTCCAGAGCATCTGTGAGATCAGCAGTGCAAGGTGGTATGTGGGGCGGAGGGGGCGGCCACCCCCCAGCACGGACTAGCAGAGGGCTCTGCCGTCTCTCCTGCTTCCCCGTTCCACTCTCTCCAGAGACCTGGGGCATGGTCTGGGGTTGTACAGTGACCAGGGGCGCTCTCAGATATCAGGGCAGGGAAGGCCGGGAGGGGATGGGCTCTAAGCAGTGGCCGCTACTCTGAATCCTGCCGCGGCCCCTGGAGATTTCAGTCCTTGCACAAAGCCCTGCTCCTGCAGAGGTCACTAAGAGTCCTCAGACCTGTGGTTCACTCATGGTTCTGTGCTGGGGTCAAGGGTCAGGGTCAAGGGTCAGAAGACCACGCAGGGGACTGGCCACACCAGGCAGTGGGGCGTCACTAGTGTTCAGAGCTGCACACCAGGCACTGCCAATGCATGTAGCACCTCTGGCTATCCCAGAGGGTCGTGGCAGTCCAGCCTGTCACGCCTGCCTTGTTTTTGAAATGTGGATGATTAAAATGTGCACAAGCGTCCGTGAGGGCAGGTGGGCTGGGAGAACACAGCCTCTTCTCTGTCCAGCTCGGTCACCTGACCTCTCTCCGGTCTCCACCTCCCCAAGAACCACATGGACACCAGGGGACAGCAGTCACATGGGTGAGTGGCGGTGACAGCAGGTCCCGAGCCCAGGGTCGCCTCCGGGAAGGGGAGGCCCATGCTGCGCCCGCGGCTGAGCGCTGTGCACGGTGGGGTTGGTGGGGCCGGGTGTGCGGGCGGCTGGGGTCCTAGTGCTGCAAGGCTGCTGGGTGTGTTGTGGTTTTCCTCAGAAGCGCGTCCGTGCCAAGCGCCCGGTGTGAGTGCGTCTGCTGCTAACCCGGCTCCATCTCCTCTAGCTACCTCCGAGCTGAAGGCAGTACACCTTTGCATCCTCATTGGGGTCTCCGTGGGCTTCCTGCTCCTGCTCCTCCTGCTCCTCCTCTTCTGCCTCCACCGCCAGCGTCAGAACAAACACGGTAGGTCTCAGGGTGAGAGGGCAGGTGTCCCAGGCAGGCTGTTGGGATGCTGGGAACAAAGCCTCCCCCTGAACCCAGACCCCTGACTGTCCTCAGGGCTGCCCAGGCACAAGGACCAGGAGCAGAGGCCTCAGGAGAGGTGAGGCCCCCGCATGAACTCCCCCCGACCCACACTGTGCCTCAGGCTGCCCTAACCTGGTTGTTCTCCTCCCTCAGGGCCAGCTTGGCTGGGGACGGCCCAGGGAGGACAGCAGGTAAAGCAGACGGGGAGGACAGCTGGAGCGGGCAGGGGCACTCAGTGGGTCAGCAGGCAGAGGGGGAAGGGGACGCTGGCAGCATTCTAGGGGGTTCTGGGTGGGGTGCAGGGGGCCCGGTCACTTTCACCCTCTGATGCCCAACTGAGGCCTGACCACGTGTCTCCCCCTCCCCAGGCTGGGCCACAGCTGACCGAGCTCTTCAGCAGGGCAGGGAGCAGGGCACCTCCGTAAGTCTCAGCATGGGCTATGGACACTGCGGAACAAAGAACCAGGTTAGCAGGACTTGAATCCTGCCTGGGTTGGGGCTGAGGCCGCTGAGCTGGTGCTTTGGTGCCAGGTCTGTCTGGGGTGCAGAGGAAGATGGGCGGGGCTGTGTTCTTAGGAGATGACAAGGGCTGGGGGCCTGGGTCAAAGCCGGAGACCTGTCCAGGAAGTGACACGCTGTCTCCTGGCCACATTCTGCTGGTCACAAGCACCAACCTTGATGCTCAGTGGGAGGGGATGGCACAGCGACAGGGTTCCCGGATGTGAGGTCCTCAGCCCCCGCCCCTTCCCCTGGGCCTCTCTCTGCAGACCCCGCTGCAGGGCCCCCAGGAGGTGACCTATGCTCAGCTGGACCACCGAGCCCTCACACTGAGGGGTGCTCAAGACGTGTCCCCACGGTCCACGGAGTGCAGCACATACGCCATCCTGGCCAGACAGGGGCCCAGCCCGCCTGGCTCCTGCACCTGAGGCCTCGGGAAGTCACTGGAAAGCCTGCAGTACCGCGGGAGGGCGCACCGGGTCTGCAAGGCCAGGCGGCCCACTCTCTTGCAGCGGGAGCTGCAGCTGGAGGGCTCTACCGCTGGCCAGGAGATTGGACCCTGGGGTGCCTGCCACAGTGACCAGTCCTGGGAGAGAGGGCGCTGCAGCTGCTTCCAGGGACCCCTGGCTGTGTCCAGAGACCCAGCTGAGACCCTGGCTGGCCCTTGGGAAGTGCTCTCCCTCAGACGCCTCTCTGAAGATCTGCCCAGGGGCCCCCCAAAGCCCCCAGGTGCCCTGCTGGCCCCGAGGCTGGGCTGTGCTCCGGTAGCTGACAGCTGGGCCGGTTCTCAGCTCAGGCCTCACCTGGGCTCAGGGGTCACCTGGAGGACTCCATGCACGCGCGGCGCGGCGACTGCACAACCAGGCCCGGGCGTCCGCACCCACGGCTCCCCGCAGCCGGAACTCCTGTCTGTGACGCTGGGGTCCCCGGGGCTGCGGCCGCGGGTCGCGTGAAGGAGGCGGCGATGAGGGAGAGGGGCTGGGTGAAGGCAGAGCGCACACCTGCCCACACCTGAGCCCGCACGCACGGCGCACGCACACAGTCCTCGCGCGGGTCCGCGGAGATGCGCGCCCCTCCCCGCTCCGGTAATTACCCCGAGGGCCGCGAGGGGGCGAGCGTACGGTCAGCAGTGTGTGCTTGACTTCAGAAAAGAAAACAGAAAAGAAAGTTTTGTGTGGGCGCGTCTCTTCTAAAAAATAGGAAGCCTTTCCCGGAAAATCAGATGATTGTGGCTTCTGCGGGATGGGGGTGGGGCATAAACACGGACACAGGGCAAAACATCCGCTTGCACGCCATAAAGCTTGAGGATGCATGTACAAATATACAGGGGTGTGCATGAGGGTTTATATATGTATAGATATCTGATTATTAAGGAAAAGAATGCAAAAAAAAAAAAAAAACCCAAACGAAATAGAAACCTGCGTCCTGCTGCAGGACGAGCATTTTAACTGTGTGTATGAAAATCCCCACGGTTTCTCTTGCGCACTGGGAAGGCACTTAAGGAACCTAGATCTTACACAAGGGGGCTGTCCAAAGTGCGTAGATAACAGTTAATCTGCGGAGCAACTCGGGAGCTGTCACAATAATACCACTGAAACTCAATTTTCTAACTAAAAAGGGAAATAAAGTCTCAGAAAAAAAGGCTCAGATACCTGTTGAGAGCTCAGTACCTGGGATACATTATTACACCCAGAGGATAAGAATAGTTTAGGGCCGGATACAGGCTGTCTGTGATCTCAGATCTCCTGTCACCAAGCTACGGCTTCACTATTTTGGGCAATGGTCAGCTTCTGTCAGCTCCGGATACCTGATTTCAGACTAAGGACAAAACCTTTGTGAAAGGTTGTCAAAGTCCTAAATCTAAGCTCTTAGATTGGACAAAAGTGACTGACAATACTTTTTGAGAAATAAAGTGAGCTTTCACTCAGGTTCCAGCACTAGAAATACCTGACTGAAGAAAACCCTTCTTCCTGTAGATATAAGAAAAGAGGAATCTCTCTGGATGTCTTGACCTTAAAGCTGGAACAGGGAGATATATTTCAATTATCATCCAGTGAGATATTTTTCAAAAAAAATCTAGGTGGAGTGATTGCTGTATGGTCACTCTGCCTGGAGACAAAAGCGACTGCCGCTATGCTAACAGCAGAAGCCATGAAATTAACTTTGGGACAAAAACTGGACGTCCTGACTCCCCATCAGGTCAGGGCTATCCTTGAGAGGACAGGTCATTTGCAGCTTGATAGGGGAACAGCTTACCAATAGCCGGCCATCCTCCTGGACACCGTGAAGGCTAATACAGAGACCTCTGTTACTCTTAATCCTGCCACACAAATCCCTGCAGGGCTGAAAGTTGGCTGCTCTGTGAAGAGGTGATTTCCCCCAAATATGTGAGTAGATGGGTCATCAGCGATCTGTCCCTCAAGACCCTGAGGAGGGATGGTTCAGGGGTGGAAGAGGCTCTGGCCAGGAAGGACCTTGCAAGGCAGGTTATGTAGCTGTCAACAGGTCAGCCAAGCCAACCCCTATACTCTCAGGGCTCCCCCCAGAAAGCAGAGCTCGTAGCCAACTTGGTTCCTGATATTAGTTAAAGACAAAGGGCTAAATATTTACACAGATTTTAGTATGGCTTTCTGGCGCTGCATAAGCATGCAGTGATTTGGAATGAAAGGGGTTTGCTAACTAATGAATGACCACTTGTAAAACATAAGTAAGAAATTCTGCAACTCCTGGAGGCAGTTCATCTTCCCAGGTAGGTCTTTGTCATTCATTGCAAAGGACACCAAAGAGACATATCTGAAATCTGCTTGGGAAATCAGTAGGCCTGATACGGAGGCAAAAAGGAGCCTCACATCCCCTAAAGATCATAGCCTTATTCCCACTTCCTGCGGAACAAAACTCACCTACATCCCCCAGGAAGATAAATAGGCATTAGGGGAAGGAGCACTTAAAAGGGGACCATGGTGGTATTTGGGAAACAAACTAGTCCTTCCCGTATGGGAATAGATGCCATACAGGGGCTGGGGATTTAGCTCAGCGACACAGCACCTGCCTGGCAAGTGCAAGATCGTGAGTTCGATTCCTGGTACTGGAAAAAAAACAAAAGAAAAAAGGATGCTATATGGGAAATGGTCATCAGATTTGCACAGGAGCAAGGCTAGCGGTAACCACCTGACAGGTGTACAATAACCCCTGCAAGCCCAAACTGCTTCCTTTGTTAGAATCAGTACAGAGGAGGGAGATATACCCTGAAAAGGAGTAGCAATTAAACTTTACCTTCATGCCACCATGTGGGGGATTTAAACAAATATTGGTCTTGATTGACAGTTTTACAGGTTGGATTGCAACCTTCTCTACCTACTCAGCACAAGCGATGGAAGTAGTCGAGGTGCTCCCCAAAGAACTTTTCCCACAGTTTAGACTATGCTAGTCCTTCACAGTGATAACCAGCCTTCTTTTATCTGTCAAATAACTCAAGGCATGGCAAAATCTTTAGGCATAAAGTACCATCTCCATTTTGCAGGGAGATGTCAGTCCTCTGGGAAGGTCACAAGGCATGCCAGACCCTACAGTGGACTGTGGTCAAACTTCCCAAGAGTTTTCTGTGACTTGGGTCTGATTATGGCCACTAGACCTCATGAGGATTTGAAACATACTTAAAATCAGGCTGAATCTGAGTCCATTTATGATGCTTTATGGAAGACCTTTTCTATCTTCTGATATGGTAGTGGACTAGTGGCCAGAAGGCTCTTACACTGTCTTATTTATTGGGTTCAAGTACAGCAAGACATAATGACTCAAAACTTTCCAAATTAGATGAAAACCATAAGTCCACATATGTCCTGACCTATATTTTGATGATTGGGTTCTGGGTCTTAGAAATGATTTAAATATTAAAATGGAGCAAGAAGTTGAGATTTTGCATAGATTTTGCCATATTATTCAATCAAAAACAAAATCAATGATACATTCTCTAATATGGATAGATATCGTGCTCAGTGGAAGAGTCATGCAGGAAGCGTCTTGTACTGTGTGACCCCACACAGGACACATCAGGAACAGATAAACCCACAGGTGCAGAAAGCAGGAGCTGAGGACTGTGAGGAAGGGGGAATCTATGGGCTTGGAGTTCTTCCTGGCATGAAAAAATACCTTGAAACTATGTACATATTGTGCACTGTGTACTTCAGTATGTCTAATGGTATGTGGAGAAGGACATTCTTCAGTTAGAGAAAGCACTGAGGACACACAAGATTTGTTTATTGTTGGTTAGGGTTTCTTAAGATAAGGCTTCACCATACAGCCCAGACTGGCCTTGCGTTCACAATCCTCCTGCATCTGCCTCCTGAGTACTGGATTACATGTGGAGAAGGATAATTCTTTAATTACTCTTTCAGTGTATTGTCTCAGGCCTGATCAAGCCATGTGATTGTTTAGTTCTGAAGGAAGTCTAGCAAAAGCATTGGTGGAAAGGATTGCAAAACCCGTGTCCTTGTGGAAAGCCGCTAGGTCAACACTAAATGCTTTACTGAGACATGCCCGAAGGAATGATAACATGACAGCTTACTAAGTCAAATCTCATACTTATGATAATTGAGCTATATTATCCATGCTAAAATGTTTGGTATCCACCCATTTGTACTAGCTGGGCCCTTGGTTCTCGCTCAATAAAAGGTGGCTGAGATTGGTTATTAAGGGTGCAGTCCAAGAGGCTGCAAACCCCTGATCCCAGAATTATGCCTCTCTTGTTTTTCTTGTTTCTCTTACTTTTCTATTCATTCGTGGGTACCTCATTCTTGGGACTGGTTCACCTTGGACAGAAACGGAACTTAGAACAACAATGGTATATTTTGTTATCTGACTTATAGCTCAGTAAAAAAATAAAAACATTGGACACTATATAAAACCTTACACAGGAGGTGGTGCACCATGTCCCCTTGGGTGTGTGTGTGAAGCAGGATTCCTGTCAGGTGGGAGAAGTCCTAGGTGCCTCCAGCTCTGGCATTATCCTCCCGGTATTTGTCCACATTCAGACTTCAGCGATGACTTGGCTGCTTGTAGAGTTCTGGTTGTGCTCCAGCATTCTTGGACCTCTGTGATTCTGTGGCCATCTGTCATCCACCCAGGTCAGGGAATTGCTTCTCACTTCCCTCTTCATCTGGAAGAGATCTAGGGCTTCGCTGATTAATTCCACCCAGGACAATTCTTGCATCAGGTGTCTTACTCTGACGATGGAAATCACTCCATATTGAGACCTTTCCTTGATTCAGAAAGAACTGATCGTCAAGCCATCCCTGAGACATGAGGTCATCGCTGAGGCAGAAGATTAGGGCATGGCCTGCCTGCTGGGCAAGCTGCTGTGACATGGAAATTCAGGGCACATGTGCAAAAAATATTTCAAGCTCAGCATCTGGGACCAATCAGAGAATGCTGTCTTCAGTGTTTCTGGCATGAAATCAAGCAGGGCTTTGTTACCTAGATCTGATGTCAGAATGGAGGATACAAGACAACTGCCATTAATCTTGTGGCCACTATGCTCTCTCCTTTGCAGTGATCCACTCACTCTTCAGAGTATATTTCTTTCCCTACATTTTTTGCTTATCTTGTTCAATTCTTGGTTCAGGACAACAGCAACCTGGGAAGACTCTCTAGAAGGAATCCATAGTGCCCCAGAACCACATGAATAGTTTTGGCCAACTGAGCTAGGAGGTAGGGCTCTTTGGGCATGGTTGGTTTCTCTCTCTCTCTCTCTCTCGGAGCTCTGTGAACTCAGGCCAAGAAGGAGCACTCTGGTTTACTTTTTTATTTACTTCTTTCTCTCCTGGGAGGACCTTCATTCCTTTCTTATCCCTTCTGTCTCACTCAGGCTTTCATCTGTCAGAGGGCTCAGATCCTTTTTGATGTTGGTTTTGGGGAGAGGCAGGGAGCTGGAGGATGGAAAAATTAATGGAAGGTGGGGATTTCAGGAAGTTTTCTCACGGCTCTGGAAGCAGTTCCTTGGTGTGTCCCACCATGTGGGAACAGAAGGACCTGATCCCCAGCACATTCAGTCCTTTTGCCTTTCTTTTTAAGTGGAGAGTTGTATGTGTGTTTTTTAAACAACAGTGAATTTCTTTTAATCAAAGACAACCGTGACACATTTATTAACTATCAAAGGCTACATTTTACTAAAAAGACCTATCTCTAAAAATGTTCAATCATGTAATATATACAATACGTGCTGCCCTCCTTTTAAGTTTTTTCCGGTACTGGGAATCGAACTCACGACCTTGCACTTGCCAGGCAGGTGCTGTGTTGCTGAGCTAGATCCCCAGCCCCTGCCCTCCTTTTTAGATTTCACTGTGCACTTGAGTTTTTCGGCTGGCGTCAAGCACTTTGTTTCTGCCTGCTCTGAGCTGGAGGAATCAAAGGCTCAGGAATCTCAATGATCTTCACAATCTCCTCCTGGTCATAATAATCCAGAGCTCTAACACCTTGAACCCTAACTTGGATGCTCTGGGAAGTTCCTGAGTTTCTTCACTAGCAGGCTCTATTACTGACAATTGGTCTCGATCAAGTCTTACTTTGCAGAACCACCCACATAATGAAGGATATATGAAATGTGTTTTCAAAACTCAGGCCCTAGCCTAACAGCCGGAAGCCAGAAGCAGCT